CGGCGAGCGCCGTCCCGCGCACGCAGCCGGCGAGGCGATGTGCTCTGACAGGAGCAGGAGCTCGGTGGCAGCAAACGAGGGTCATGCTTCTCACATGTTTTAGCAAATGTGGAAGATCCTGCTTGCTGCTAGAGCCACACTTCCACCCTGTTCGGAGATGTACCCGTATTTCCTAACTTCTACTTGCAGCAGGCAGTAGAAAGGTTAAAACTGAAACTGGAGACTATTTTCTTTTTTTCCATCCTCTAAATCAGATCACCTGTATCCAGAAAAGCAACCTGCAAGCCTGCTTGCAGTTTTACCCAGAAGCTTGGAAGGATGAGGAGACTGGGGTCACGACAAAGTTACTGCTGGAAAATTAAACCAGGCAAATTCAGTGCTTGCTGGTTTGGTTTTTAATCCTTGCCAAGGGCTGCAATAACATTTGGCCGCTGCCTTGAGAAGCTGGTTCTGTGCTGGGGGACCAGCACACAGAGATGCCCTGCCATAGGAGGAAGCCTGGATTGGTCCCATGCATCTGGAAAGCGGTTTGCAGAGCGAGCACGTCAGGAGGAGGCAGCCTCAAGGCAGGACAGAGTGGACTAAGCTAAGGGTGAGATACCTGCTACATCCCTCTTGACAGCATAACGAAGGAAATTTAGAGAAAGATTGTCTCGGCACCACCCTTCCAGCTGAAGAAGGCCACGGGATGGAGAGCTGTAGTGCTGGACCAGGACATACAGGCCAGTACCGAGAAGAAGTCAACAGCGCAGGCTCCAAGGCTGACGGTCCATATCTGGAAGTTATCTCCTACCCCACTCACATCAAAGGCAGTGTTTTACTCTAAAAAACGAGCATACCTACTCAAGACGATTCAGCTGATGCCTTTGTGATACTGAGTATAGAACATGACCAGCAAACTGGCCACAAAACCTCATTTTCTACCATCACACTGGAGATGCAGAGGCACCCAAATTGTGGGGATGAAGAGGTGGGGAGCATTTCCAAAGACCACAAAGACACACACTGGATTGTAGCGAGGACCTGGTGCTTCAGGCTAGTGAAATACAGAAAGGGTGGTGTGTCTTACCTTGTCAGAGGACTTGCCTCTTCAAGCCTGGCCCTGCGGGAATGGCTGCGGTGCTGTGAGGGTCCCACGAGCACAGCTTCAGCACGAAGCCCAGCTGAAAGCCTTGCCTGGTCCCAGCCAGCCCAGAGATGCTGCAGCAATCAGGGCTCACCCCAATCAGCTGTGGGCACTTGGGTGTCCACGGGCATGCCACTTCCAGCCAGAACGCGATGCTGAGGGGAGGACATGGCCCTACTCAGTTTCAAATACACATCCTTGACAACGAAACCTTGTTAGGATCCTCAATGAACACGAAATATTCTGCAGTTTATGGGATTTCATGCTGTAATTGCATATATTCATTTAAAATCAAATTTGGCTTCCAATTAACTGTTTAGTCTATTACAGGTAGATATTGCAGGTGAAGAAAATTCCAGATGCCCAAGTGTCCCCCATCACTGACGACACGGTAACTCATGTGTTTCTATTTGCAAAGGACATAACAAATAGCTGTGAGTACATCAGTAGTCTTCTTTTATGTTTTAAAAAAAGCAGGATGTTGCTGCTGAGCCTGGAGGACCCAGAGCTCGCAGCTAGGCTGAGCAGGGGACAAGGGGATGCAAGCGGGCCAGCCTGGGAAGAGAGGTGGGTGGCTTTTTAAACTGCAACTCATTCCCCTTACATCAGTCATTTACAAGTAGCAACAGCGGACACAAAATGAACAGAGAAACACCAAATTTTGTAAAACAGGTATATTAAAATTTGAACCAAGTACAGTTTGCATGTATTGCATGAATCACATCCAGGTGAATGCTATAAAAGATAAAAATACCTGTGCACATACTTTATAAATCCAAGCATTTATATATAATTTATAAAATTTTCATAGCATAAAATAGCTGTGACTCAGAACAAAAATTTTACAGATAAAACTGCATGAATGTGCAAGTGAAACCATGCCTTTCTTGGGACTAACTGATTTCACCCCACGGGTTCAACATTCAGCGTGCTGTCAGGTTTTTCTCCCAATTTTGGTCCCATCCAGTGTGGTGTGGTCCCTCCACAGGGCTCTGCCCACTCTGCCCTGCAGCTGTACATCATAAAGCACCCTTAAGAGAAGGTGTTTAAAGGTGTTTTAAGGCCTGATGGCAGCGCTTCTCTGGTGTGTGTGAAGGAGGGAGACTGAGGACGGGACCCCATGGATCTGGTGGCCCGAGCCCAGCGCTCACCAAAGGGCACGTGGGAGCAGGCATGTGCCCGGCTGAAAGACTCATTGAAGCTGCTTGCGTACACAGGTAAAGTCCACACAGCCTGATTGAAAGCAATTTATCCACAGCCTGGGCAAATCTAAAAATGGTCAAAATTTCTGCCAGCATTTCTTCTGGAGACTACCAACCTGGTTTTAAAATCGCACGGCTCTTTCATGTGCACGCCTTCCACTTCTCATACAAAATTCGCAACTGCATTTTTTTAACTTGATTATATTTATCCAAGCAGTCAAACTGATGGCAAAGCACCTCCTTTACATTCTTCAGGTTAATTTTTCTTGCAGCCAGGAAGACAAGCGTACATGGTTAAAAAGCTGGCTTATGTACATTCTGCCAGGGAAAGGCACAGGGGGCATGCTTGAAGCTCTGCGGTCATAGCGTGTTACATTTTTCCAGCCAAGCAGACCACATTCACCGCTGTATTTCTCAACAGCTCATTGGTCCAACAGCAGATGTTTGTTTTTTTTTTAAATAAGCAGCCTGAGTTATAGCGACAACCCTCCTATGAACACTCCTCAACTGCTATTCTACAAGTGTATACACGGTATTGCAAGATGCACGGAAGACCAACCTTAATGCTCTGCAGCACCAGAAAATGATCGCATCTTATTGCCACACATTGTAGTCACCAGAGTCACCATTCAGCTCCTTCCACAACATGGTTTAAGGACACAACTTGTCACTGAGCCCCTGCATGACAGGAAGGGCTTTGTCCCATCTCCTAGACAGGGAAGCTAAATGAGAGTTAAACAGTTTGAACACAAGCCTCAACATCGTGGTAACAACTCTGCTCGGTCGTATGTAGGTAAAGGATCTTTTAGTGGAGGCTTTCTTATTACTATTCAAGATGGATTTGTTACAAATCACTTAAAATGTTTTGTGTTAGATTTTTTTTTTCTTCTGTTTTACTTTTTTGTTGTTTTTTTTAAAGGATTGCAGTGGGTAAAACCATACACACAGAACTAGCCAGGCCTGGCAGTGCCGTCAGAAGACACTGTGACAAGCAACAAGTACAATAATGATCAGATTTCTTTAGGGAAATGCACAGCGGTACCCAAGCGTGGCCATCTCTGATCTCCACCAATGCTGGTTGCTGAAGAAACCTACTGTCTTGGCCAGCAGGACGCTCCCACCAAAGCCCAACAGTGGGAAGGTGCCAGCGCTTGGAAAGCCTCCACCTCCCTCCATCTCCACATCACCTTCCCATCTTCATCCACTCTTCATTCACCCCCCGGTCCTCAGGGGATAGTGGGGCGCATACAGAGCTCTGCGTGCCCCAAGGACGGCTCTTCACTCTTGGCTGGTTGCCTCTTCCCCCACCCCACCAGCCGCTCGCTCTGCCACGCCCCAAACGCGCCATTCCTTGTGGCTTGCTCTCCTTCTTCCGCAGGAGCAAACCCGTGGTCAGCCATTTTTTTCTGCTCCAGAAGGAGCACCCCCGTGGCCAGGCAGGCAGTTTCGCAGCCCGTGGGGCTGGCATCCCACAGGCACAGCCACGCTTCCCAGCACCCGACCCCACGGCAAACCAGGCGCTGCTGCTGCTCTGGCAGGGATTTTGGCTTTGTACTCTGTGCTTGTCATCTTTAGTCGTCTGGGCCAGGGGTCTCTAATGATGGGACACAGTGGGATTAGTGATTTCTAACCCAAACTTACTTGTGTACAGCAATTCCCATGACTCTTCCGAATCAGGTATTTTAGGCCAGTGCAGAAAGGCACAAAACACTTTTTGGTCAAGTTACCAGCCTTGATTGACTCATCGCATCTCTGAAATGGTGGTGCCATACATTACTTTGTAAGGTAGGTGCTGCGCTCACATCAGTCCTAACATCTCGTGCAGCAGCGGCACAATCACGGTAGCACTGAAGCCAACTGAGGAGTACGTTATAAATTTATACGGCACTTCGACTTCCAGGCGTCTTCGGGCTTCCAGGTCGCCAATGGGAAACTTGTACCGATAACCCAGCATGCCAAGGACCACACTTTTCATGAGCTGGCGTGTCAGTAGAACAACAAAGATCCCTATAAAGAACCTGGCTAGCACGACCACCACTATTTTACTGGTAATCAGAGGAAATCCAAGCTGAAAATTTTCGCTGGTGTAGGCTCGTGCAACATACTGGTTATTTAACCAAAATCCCACAGTTGCTCCAGCTGCTGCTCCTAAGATAGTAGTGGTGTCTCCCCTGGTAGGGCTGTAATAGTCTAGTTTGGGGTAGTTGTAACATAAGACAAGAGGCACAACTATGGAAAGCAGTGGACAGAAGGGACTAGTTAACAGCAAGTGATCGATCATGTCCCACGCAGGATACAAGAGCACAAGCAGCACAGCCGAAATCAGCGCTCCACCGATCACGTCCTGCAAAGACATCATGTTTAAAAGCTTTGTCAGACCTGGAAGGTAAAACAGATATTCTCGGGTGATGATAAAAGAGCAGTATCTGCATTCGTGAACACACAGCCGCAGAGGAACACCCTGAATTCACAGCAATGGCAGTGCCCACACACAGTGACATCCCAAAGCTTGTGCTAAACAAAACGTGACAATCTGTGAACCCATCCTTCACCTTGTCCATGTGCATATATCTATTGACTCATATTTTTCCCCTGAACAAGTGATATTCTTCTCCTCACCTGCTTTCATGTTTTAAGGCCACTCTCTGCCTACAACTTCAGTGGAAAAAGGCACATGCACAACTCCATCTCAGGGACGATATCACAGTAAGCTGCCTTCATACAAACCCTTCCCCTCCCATAATCCTACAAGTAATTTCATCATATCAGTAGGATTATCGCTTGCTTGCTTTGCATAAATGGGAAGATGCTGTCTTTTGTCAGAGGCAAGCAGCCAGTCCAGGAACACAGGCTCCAGGGCAGAAAAGTGCAAAGCTGCAGGACATGGTGCCATGATTTCTGCCGACTGCGGTGAGAGGTAAGCACCACCAGGCAAGAATACATCAAGGAGAAATTTGTTGCCCAAGCCTCTGAAATCCGGCTTGTAGTTCAGCGCCTGAGGCAAGCGCATAGTTAAAACCTAATTTATTAACAGAGGCAAATAAGGTGTTTTGAGAACTTGATTGTTGTCGACCACAAGGCTGGGAAAGGAGACAAGAGCTAACCTCTAACAAAAGCTGTCTGTACGAGAGCAGCCAGATAAAAAGCAATATAACAAGTTTCCCTGTGCTGCTCTCCCAGCATTGCTCGGGAGGCAGCAGAATTTGTATTCTGACCATGAAACGCCCTGCAAAAGCTAGAGTTAATCACAGACAGAAATGTCATCTTCTCGAGATTGTATCTTTTTCACCGAGTCATGACAGTTGACTACTACCATGCTTGGTCACAGTCTAAAATGAATTATTTATGAGAACTTCATTTATAGTTAGGCAGGAATGAGGGGACTTTTTCACAACAGAAATATTTAATGACTTTCTGGTAAATGCATTACTCCAGTATGGCTGAACTCTAGCTGTTTACAACTTCCAGGCAATAGATTCACAGCACATTTGGTTTGAAGCAAGTCCCAGAGCCATTTTGCATATTCCTAATACAAATTTCCACTTAGATTTATTCCTTCATCCATGACATGAGGATAGCCATGAACACAGTTGTTCACAGATGTCTAATATGTAAAATACCATTAGGTGTCAATATTTCACACCACCAACATTTTTAGATGATAACTTTACACACAAAGGCATGTTTTGGCCTAACAGTCAGTAACTGCATCAACCCAAAAGAGCTGGGGATTGCTCCCAGCACTGATGCTCAGAAATCCCATCACCTCTGTGCACCTCCACTTCCCACCTCACTATTTGCCCACTTTGTATTAGAAGAAAAAAGTCCTGACATCTCGATACCCCCTTCCATGTGTGACTAAGGAGTGAAATTCAAAAGCTGTTCACTTGCTTTTCTGTTCCAATTGAAGACGTTTAACCAAACATTAACATTCCCCTCACAAATGCTTTGCTCAGATTTACCCAACTGACTCCAGCAGTTCCCAGCCAGGGCGCAGACACCCTCTATTTACAAACCCAATTAAAGTTCTCTGAATTTTATTATCTTCCCACTCAGTCCCAACGCAGTAAAACGGCCCCTGTAGTTTTTGGGCAGGACCCAGATAACCAGCTCTGCTCCCTACCAGTGGCTTCTACCAGTGGTCTCCAAAGTGGGTGCACAAGGCAACTCATCAGGCTGTGAGAAGAAAACAATTTTTGCACCACTAATAAGTAAAATAAAAAATAGATATATCTTTTAAAAGTAGTGTTTATTTCATCCTCATCCTTTTTAATTTCTATTTTTGTGTATGTATTATAATGTATTTATTAGTATAGTAATACATGTATATAATTCATAAATAAACATACATATATTGGGCATGCATGCTAAAAATTTTTTTACTGATAAGGATGCATGATCAAAAAAGTTTGGAGACTAGTAGTTTATACTGTTTTTCCCACCGCGCACCAATATATGGGCTTCTTATTTTGGAGATTCCTTACTAGAAGCTGCTGGAGAGTGCGGGACATACCCAGCCACAGCCCGTCAGTAGTGACTGCCTTTGGTTCTCGTACGCACGGGCAGAGGGTTGGTTTTCTGAACACCCAGAAGAGGCGGGCGACTTCAAGACCAACACTTTACAAAGACATTTAGTGGTACAGAATTAATGATCTCCCCCCTCGCCTGTTAAACTAAGAAGAAGATGGGATGAGGAGGGATGACTCTGATTTCTGTGAGAAAAACTGCTTTTCTGGACTCGCCCTGCTGTGCTCCCAGCAGCAGGACCTTAGCTCTTCCCAGCGGTGAAGCTGCTGTTAGCACTCCCAGGAAGCACATTCTTGCCCGTCTGCCTGTGTAAACAGATTAACCTCTTGCCAAACCCACAATTATAAAGGCATTTTCAAATGAGGGCAGGCACGGATTTTGCTCAAGGTGCAAGACTACCAGCAAAGCTTAAAACCTCCCGTTTCCCTGCTGGGATGCTCCAGCTCCCCCAGCACGAACAAGTGCTGCGGCAGTCCTCCGCAGGCTCCATCCCTCCCAAAAAGCCCCCTGCCACCATGCAGCTCGGCCCTGCTCCTGCACAGCACCCCTCTGCCTACCCCACAGCGATGAATATCTGCCCAGGTTCCACGCAAGGGAGGCCTCGCTCCTATAGATTTTAATTAGAAAGCTGTCATTTTGCTTTGCTACCTAAGAACAGGCCAGTATCGGGGTTCCTAACGCTGCAAGCCATTCAAGTTATTTTCCTGTGCTACAGGTACCTAAAGAAAAAAAACTGAGGTAAAAATCCAGTTGCACGCCATGCCTGGGATGCAGGACCGGGGCGCTTCCAGATGCTTTCTGCCCATCACCGAGGAAGCATGGCAGCAGGGCAGTCCATCGGTACGGGCCCCGCTGCTGCCGTTCTTGCGCTGGGCTGGGGTTTTTTTGTTTCATAAAGTCTTAGAGCATAATTTGTTCTAAGACTGCAAAAGCGTGTGGTCTGGCTTTCTGAAGGCAAGACTGGTCTATGCTCTTCCCATCGAAACTACAGTTGGAGATGTAAACACTCACAAAAGGCCCCCAGAACATCGAACCAGCACCCCGAACACGGTGGCACTCAAGTATCTTCCCTGATGTTCCCAATCAAAGCAGAAATAACACTTCTCCTCTTCTGTCTTGTATTGCCTGAATTCCCTTCATGCTTTCATTTACAGTGTGAGACGCTACTTGCTCTCCTAAACAGAAATATCTTATTTACTTTCCACTCCTATAGGTTACTCTGTTTCATCCCACAAGGACTGTAGTGCCATAGTGTGTAAAGTGATGCCAATACATTGTTTGTTTATCAGCTTTAAAATATTTAAGATAATTTCAGGATTAATGGCGGTGTTAAAAACCCCGAGATACAGCACAGCAAAGGAGCAGGGTGGGGGCTACAGAGTGCCCTCTCCTGAGGGTGGTATAATCAGCAATAAATGCATCAACACTGAATCGGTATATCTCAGGGGAAAAAAACAATTTACTTTGTTTACAGAAACAACTTTCAGGTTTCTTTTTGGTCATAAAAAGTGACCTTTTGACTCCTCTCTGTATCCTACCCCCAACACTGGCCGGCACAGGGCATTATTGCTTTTAACTCCGGGCAGCAGAGGTGGGAAGCTGCAGCACCACTAAGGTGGTCACAACATCAGCTGTGGCTCTTGAGCGACTGCCTGCTTCCCCAAGCCCCCGCCGCTGGCTGGAGACAGGGCAGTACGCATTACACCCGGAGGAGACCCAGCTCTGCCTCCACAGCGAATCCCAAACCCATTAGCCTGGTGCATTAGAAGTTCCTACGGCTGGCCCTGAAGGGTTAAAAGAAGGCTAAAAGCCTCCCCTCCTCCCCCCTGCCCTCGGCTGATGAAGTTCTTCCCAATATGATTTGCAGTGATCTTGCTCGCAGCTTTTTGGAATGCTGTGCATTCACATGAACACCATCGCTCATGGTTTCAAATACGAGATGACTCAGATGGGCTCCAGCAATGCTAAGGGCAAAAAACTTGTTCGTCTCACTGAGACAGTGATCAAAAGTTGGGCCAAAGCTTTAAGATGGGAAGTAAAGGGATATTTTCTAAAATACAATTGTCTGGGGAAAAAAGCAAACAACAAAAAGCCCCTAGTCCTATTGTCTCCAATTTCATTTTGTTCCTTAAAAACAACCTCTGTAAAATTACAGATCCTCTGCTTCAAAACGTGTCCAAATTTTCACTTTGCCCCTTCCAGGCAACTCCAATTTCCCACCTCCCCAGCTCCTCAGACTCCATCATTCAAGATCTAAAAGGAAGGTCCCCGCCTTTCCCCTGCTTCTCCACGCCCATGGGATATTCTCATGTTGAGGTGGTGGAGGTGGATTGTTGCAATTAAATTCCCTCTCTGCAGTGCAAGTGTATTGCTTCTACCCCATTCTCTAGCTGGGTGATGCTCTCCTGGTAGCAGCCCAGGCAATGGGTGTTTATTCCCTTTTCCCTAAACGTAGTATTCGTTCTGACAGGGCTATAATGATGCAGCTAGCTCTCACACCAGTTTACTGCCTCTCCAGAAGGTCTTTAACGGTAGCATCTCTTCTACTGACATGACTGTGCTTTTTGAGGCCGCTCCTGATCCAAAAGCAATGCCAACAATGCTGAAATACAGACTGATTTGTAGAGCTGAGGCTGCAGAAGACAAGCCCCTGTGCTGGAGCTTCAGCTACGGCTGTAGCAAAGCACGATGCAACCACCTTGCCACTCCTCTGGTTCCTCAAACTGGAAAAATTCAGTTACACTAAGTCAGTGGGTATATTTTACCTGTTCATTTGCTTTACTAAAATATTACGATTGCTTAATACATAATTATATCCTGTCGGTATTCATTTTCTATTAAGACCTCAGTTACTAAGAATTCATTAGATAGAGGCTGTTTCAGCTGGTGGCTTGGCTGAGTGGCTGCTGTGCCTCGGCCCTGCAATAACTCAGGCAGTTCAGGGTGGGAGCCGTCCCTCAAAGTGTGGCAAATGTCTCTGAAATGCACTTCTTCCTCGAAAAAGCCTGTCATTGCAGGTGGGACACCAGAACCTGTCATTGCAGGTGGGACGGATGGTGCCACAGAGAGAGGGGGGCTGCATCTGGGCAGCCGTGATCATCAGTCGTTTCCCCAGCTCCATCCCCACCATGGCACACATGGGATGAAGACCCCAGTGAAGTGCATTTACCCTTTTGAAACGCAGCATTGCTCACAGTTCAACTAAGGAGCTTTTTTTATTTTAAAGCCCTTTTTATCATGTCAAAGACACAAAGGAGTTTTTCTTCTTTACCCTAAAATCCATCTAAATTTAGAGGAGTCTTTCATTACGATGGAGCAGCAAGGGAAGTATGCGAAGAATTTTTACTGATTGACTTGAGGTCACTAGTCAAGAAAGGGTGTCTCCAGCTTCGATTTAAGATATTGTTTTGATCCACTAAGCCTGGAAGGGAAGGTCAAGCTATATTTTATAGATAACCTTAATCTCATAAGGGCTCCCTTTCTTAGAGTCATCAAGTCTCCTTATTACAAACATAATAATTACTTAGTAAAAAAATACAATTATTTATGCATATGCAACCAACAAACAACGCATATCAAACTCCTGCAGGGAAGCAGACGGGAGTTTTTATCCATAGTCAGCTGGACCACCCCTCTGGCCATTATATGTAACAGATCAATAACGTTTCCTCTCGTCAGGAAGGAACCAGCTATTGCCTAATCAAAGTTACACTGAAATCTGTTCTTAAAGCAGGGCTGACATCTCTAAACAACTGTGCCCAACAAATCTGTCATATAAAGTCACAGATATTTTATGATTATTTTTGAACGAAGTATTTGTGCATCTCAATCCTTTAAGAATGAATTTCCTACCAGCTGAAAATGAGAAGCTTGTCATAATATTTTTTTAAGTGCCATGTCCCTGTATGGTAACACGAGACACACTGTCCCCCAGCCCCCCAACAGCAGCTCACTCGCTATGTTTTACCCTCTCCTCCGCTCTCTGCTGGTTGCTGGCGTGACTCACCCACCTGCTATTCCTTCCCTGACACTCCCAAACTAAACCAGCCCGAAATATTTCTCGCTGACAACAGTGATACTATTACACAAAAGGCTTAGCTAAGGAGCAGCATCAGTTGCCCAAGTGCATTCCTCACAATTAAAATTTCAAAATAGAGAACTGTAATTCGGATGCCACACCGACCTCACCCGGCTCCTCAACTTACGCGCACTGCTCCTTCCCTAATGGTATAAATAATTCCCCTGCGGATTCAAACAGCAATAGCCTGAGGGTTTCCCCACAGCTGCCTTTGAATGTACAGCCTGAGATTTAGTGGCATGACTCCTATATCCCTGCAGTGGCACGGCCAAGGCAGGACATACATCGCTTGAAGAGTGGGAGATGGGAATCGCTGTAGGTAAGCAGAGCTGGAGACAGGAGCAGCATGGGGCGGCGCAGAGCATCCTTACCAGGACTGTGTGCATCCCCGTGTAGAGCCTGCTGAGACACACCAGCGCTGAAAACACAAACGCTGCTACCAGGCCTAGTTCAAACGGATACTGTGAAAAGGGAGGAAAAAAACCCGCACATTACACCATTATCCACTTCAACATCAGTATATATCCAAAATAAGACATCCAAGCAGCCAGACTAACGTAAGGATCTCGTGTTGGGAAGCAGCTCCTGAGCTGTACTTTCCCAAAAAGATTAATGTGACGTGAGATAAGACCTCACATTGGCCAACGTGCAATCCTGGCAGAAGGCCGTTTCATTATCTGTGGTGCCCACTTTTGCAAAGATCTTGTCCTAGCGTTCAGAAACCTGGGAAATAGATGGCATTTGCAGAGTCTTCCCCCACAATATCCACCTGCAAAATCCATGTTAGTGCTAAAGACCTTAAGGAAAAAAGGCGCAGCATGTTGTACAAGCAATGCCTGAGGTTGAACTGCAGCCTCAGATCACCCAAGGGGAACACGACAGCCACAGAGCCTGACCAGAAGCATGATCAATAGTCCTTGAGCAGTGGGCTGGGAGGGGAAAATCAATGTCTGGGCTGAAACCACAGTCCAGCTATTAGAGCAGTCAGGACTGCTCTTCCCGGTGACACTTCAGGTGTAATTGTCTTCTTATGAAATTGGTTTTGCTTAATTCCCTCTCTGAGTCACCTATGAACACGGAAAAAAGCGTTGAAATAAATCAACATTTAAAAAGGAAAAAACCCACATGCATTTGATAAAGAATAAGCTTAACATATTAGCCCTTAATCCACTCATTCAAATCCTGAAAGCGAGTGGGCTGGGGGGGCTCCTTTCAGTCCGTAAAGGACATTTTTGTGAAAAAATAAACCAACCCAAAATATAAATAAATGGAATTAATTCACCCGATTTGACACAAAGTCTCCATCTACTGCCAAGAGGCCGATGACTGACCGGGGTGGCCACAGGTCAGTGCAAAAATGCTGCTGTGGAAATTTTAAGCAGAACAACTTGCTTCTGACTCCTTCCCCCGGCGTACTCTAGCCCCTGGAATAGAGAGCTCAGACCCAGCTGCAGATGTCACTCCCAGTTCATGAAATGCTATTTTTTCCTCACTTCTCTAAGCCTTTGGAGGATTTACATCCACTTTATTCCCCCCTCAGCAGGCAGCCTGGGAGCTAGTGCAGATCAGTAATTGATGACTGGGGCAGCTTTAGAAGATAGCAGCATAATGTACTGGTAGATTTTTCCTTCCTAATTGCCTTGGAGGCAATTAAATCGTTTAATTATTTTACAGCAGCTTTATTGTTTCACGGCAGCTTCCAAGAAGTACGAGACAGCCCGTGAAGAGCTGTGTGTCCCACTGGTAGCTTATCTATCCAGGAGGAGGAGAAAGTGCTGCAGACCAGATCTTTTTGGCAGATCTGACACGTGGGATGGATCTGGCCTTCCAGGGCTGACAAATACCCCATCTTATGGCTCCTCCTCCCCATCCCCATCCCATTGCCGAGCTGCTCTGACCAGTTACCATACAATGACCAGGGAGCAGGAGGCTGGCAGCACAGCTTTGGGCACCACTGACCCGCTCACTCATCCCTGCACTGTGGGCAGGAGCAAAGCCCACCACTTCACGGCTGGGACCAGATGAGTCTGGAAGTTAAATTAATTCAGAGATCTCAGTGTAATTCAGAGATCTCCGTTTCTATGAGTTACAGCCCCAGGACACAGCACCTTTCATCAAGCAGGTGGCCACCTTTTGTTCCTGCACACACGGTGACACCGTGGGGAGGACACCCAGGGACATTGCGACAGCAAGACCCCCCCCAGCCGTACTGTGAGCCCTCTTGGTTACATGGGTTTATCTTTGAAACACACTTGAGAGGGCTGAGAAACACGCTTAAATACAATGCAGCCAGGAAGTTATTATTGCTAGAGTACAGGAAACACGTTTGGATTCATAAAATGAAACAAAAACAATCATCATGGAGAAATGAGTTTCTGGGAAATAAACCTTTTAGAAAGATAAAAGGCTGAAGGTTTGGGGAAAATAATTATGAGATCTCCCCAAGCAGCCTGCAGCTCCAGTGCAGTGAAACTGCTGTTACTTCTCTGACAAACAGGTTCTCAAATCATGTTGTACGCTATTAGTCTAACACAGGTTAGAGCCAAGGGATTTCCAAGGATGCGTTTCCTGCATCATACAAAAAACAGGTGACATAGAGCTCCTCTGGTTTCCCTGGGAGCTGGCGTTTCCCCGACGTGCAGTGTCAGCTTGGCGGGCACGGGGTGAGCACAAAATGCTGACACTGAGCATCTTCTTCAGCAGTCCTGCGGCTCCCTCCATGGTCACCCTGCATGCAAAGACAGAGCGAACCTGCCAAACCACGGCAGGGCAGCGCAGCCCGCCCGCGGCTCTGAGTGGGGTGTGTGCTAAAGAAAGAAGATTTCCACTAAATTTCTTCTTGTGTTTATTATCAGCCAGCTGTGGGTAACAACAGGGGAAAATACACATCTGTGAAAAATACAGAGCTCCTCTGGAAGTGGCAACAGCTTTGGATTTGCTAGTTTTCTGTAGCTTGCTGGAAGCAGACACATGCTTTTCTTTTTTTTATTGTTTCTTTCTGTACCCCCTACCTTGTACTGGTTCATGGTTGCAATGAGAAAGGAGAAGGAGATGGCAGTGGCTGCCATGGCGTGGGTGGAAGGCATCCCGTACTCTGCATCCGTCCTCATTTCCAGCTTGACGACAGGTGGCGAGAGGGGCCGAGGCCACTTCAGGATGTCCTTGGAGACCTGGCCTATGTACATCACTATCTGGGGAGAGGAAAGGCCACAGGGCTGTCAGTCAGCACGGGCAACCCCCACTCAGCCCACCCGAGAACCACCTCTATTTCTGCGCTTTTTCCTGCAAAATCCACCACCCCAAGTGCAGAATTTATCCCCTGAATTATTAAAGGTGTTTCCATTATCCCGGTCAGCGAAGGAAGCAACGGTTTTACTGCACCATGTTGTAACCTGATCAGAAGCGGGACCAAAAGGAGGGTTTGCTGACAAGATGCAGCAATACAGGATGGTGTGAGACAGACAGCTGGCTCCCACCCCACGCTAGAGAAGTTTAAGTTTCCTCCCTATCCCTTACAACCCCTCTCCTGCAAAGCAAACGGATATAAGAGAAATTTTTCTGCCGCCACCTTCAAATCACCTCCTTGCCCAGCCGCGTCCCTCCCAGCTCCACGCAGCAGCTCTCCGAGGGCAGCACCAGCTCTCCCATTCCCAGCAGCTCCCACTCCACCCACCGCACAAGGTGCTGCAGGAACCCTGCCGGGACACACCACCAGTGTGGTTATTAAATAATAATCTTGGCATCCTTGGGGAGGCAGCAGAGAGAAAACTGGACGAGCAACATAAAGTACCAGTTCTCCTGCCTATCTCCCTAACAACAAAGGGCTTTTGTGCCCTGCTTGGGACACAAGAGGTTTAAGCAAGGGCTCCATCAATTACCTACTGAGCACTGCAACGCAGTGATTTTGGGGGGAAATGTTGTATTCTCAGGTCACTGCAAGCAGCAGCAATGGGAAGCGGAGGCAAGAGGCAAAGCTGGCCAGCATCCCCGAGGTGCAGGCCACCCAGCAGTGCCCAGGGCACCCGCCGCGCTGACATCCTCTGCTCCTCAGTAGCCCCTGCCCAAAGGCAACAGGCTCTCAGCATCCACAGTGAGAAGGATGTGAACAAAAGTCACCCAGGCTGTCCCTGGAGGATGTATATGCTTTCTATTGCCCCCATCCTTCCTTGCAGCTATACGCAAAGCAAGCTCTACAAAACAAAGCAAATCTTTTTTCTTTTTTCTTTTTTTTTTTTTTTACAAAAATCAGGTTAACTGACATCTGCCATGAAAGATAAGTTGCTGTGCGAGACAGCTCACTGTTCTGCTTCTCATGCTTCCACTAGCAAAGGAGGGGTCTTAAAATAACACCCTTCCTATGCTGGCATTAGCCATATGCCAGAACAGCAACATGATCATCCGCTGCCACAGTCGTCACCAGCCACATTTCATCCCTCTCTCTCCCACCAGCCATTCAAAAAATGGCTTCACATTAAAAGAAAGACACCAGGATTCAGAATTCACAAAACAGTACCAGGAAAAAGCCAAAATGTCACATTCCTTCATCCCCCTCTCTACAGCAAAGGGCATGCCGCAGGGAGTGCTAGGCTTACAGCCAGCAACAGAGCCTGGAAAAGTGACTGCTGCTCCCTTTGCATCCTTTGGCCCCCAGCACGTGAATTCCATCACCGCCTTATTATTGGCACCACCTGTGGCACACCTGGCTGATCCTACTTCACCCTGATATATGGGACATAGGGCAGGCAGCAAATACCCTGCCCAGACAGTTCACAGTAAACAAAGGCTCAAGGAACAAGAGTCTTAAAGAAACTACTGCACAGGTTTATTTAGTTAATACCACCAGTTTCCAAATGGATGCAGGCACATCTTTGGAAGTTAATTAAATTCCAGGGTCGAAAGCAAAATTACTCTCTCCAACAGAACATAAAACATGGAGGCTACCATTCGTGATACCATCTGAGAGGCAAGGTAGAACGAGCCAGTTTATCAGCAGTCCTCTATAATAATGACTTCCACTTGTAGAAGTATTATTAGCACTAGTACGTAAGAGTATTACAGAAAGGGAAATGAGTCATCTTGGAAATGAAGGCTATGCTAGGACTCCTCTGATGGTGAAAAACAGGCTGAATGCTGGAGGTGGTATGGGTAAGCAAAAATACCTCACAACACCGTCCTTCCTGGCATTCCAGATTAAATTCTCACCCTCGTATTTTTTAAAAACACATATTGTATAGACACATACAGTAACAAGAGGTGCGACAGCCTCCATAAAATATGAAGGGGAGTCCAGAATACGTTCAGGCTAAGCACCGCCTTCTGAAGCACCAACCTTTGCCTTTAGCTTATCTGGGTGCTGTGCACGTGGTTTTACGTGCAACATCCTGGGTTATTTGGCAGAAGTGGCAGTTGTGCGTGCAGTAAAACAACCCCCATCAGCCAAACCAGCAGGCTTCCCCAAGAAGGTGAAAGATGACAAGTGCACCATTGCTAAAAGCCACCCAGCAAAGGCGTTGCTCTGGTTTGCCTGCTTCCCCATGCGCTGCTCACAAGCGGCTGAAGGAGCACAGGACTGCCCAGGCAGCCCAGAGCTCCTGCCAGATCTGCCTGCGGTGGGCAGAGGGGTGCCCTCCCTGGGGAGATGGCCCTGCAGCATGAAGCGAGGCAGACAAAGCACTGGCTGGGACATGCGCATCCCTCCCCAGCCCAGAGCATCAGCCAGTCCTGCCGGGGACCATCACACAGCTGGTGACTGAGGACAATACCTCCGCGAGCGTACCAGGCACAAAATCCCAGAGCTCAGCCACAAATAATAAAAAAAAAAATGTAGGAGGCCACCACAGATGCAGTCACTACATGACAAGTGTTTTGCAGAAACACACTTGCAGCATTATATTTCATTGCAGGATATATCTGAATTGCACTCTACTGCGGCTCTCATCTTCTGAGGATGGTACGTATCTGCCTTGGTTAAGTGGCATATTCTCTCTTAAGCCACATTTCATTATTTCCTGACCTTATTTCTCTGTCATTTTGGATTTACTCTCTAACAGTCCCAGGAAAGAAAGCAAGCAGCCTGAAAGTTTTGGCCCGTTATCAGCTTGTTTTCAACTTAGCAGATGAGAAAACCCCTGCAACAAACATTGTGAACCATAAGCACTGAAGCACTGGAAAGAAGGAAAAGGGAGAGATGAGCATGGAGGACAGGCTAAAGATCACAGAGCTAAGCCTCACCTACACTTGACTTGAATTACCTATTTGTACGATGCCAAAGATCTTTGAAGGCCCTGGAATAAATTTAGCATGAGCAGAAAATACCCCAAGTCCAGACTGGCAAGTAACTTGGGACTGCTTAGGGCCCCAGGACTGGGTAATTCTGCTGTGATTTCCAGCCTACCCTAGGTAAGCCAAACAGCACATTCATGACAGCTTCGGACAGGCAAACAGGGGAGGGTAGGTGAAGGCTTGACCCAGGAGCGTGTCACCTTGTAGCAGCTGATAGGCAGCAAATTTAGGCATTTCAAAGTCTAAAGCAGAGTGACTGCTCAAGCCTGCCATGCTGGGCTTCACCCAGCTCCCCTTTCTTCACACAGGCTGGGAAGATTGAGGGAGGAAGGAGGGGCTAGACTCAAACCATACTCACCTAAGATTTAAATAAAACCCATTCCAAAAGTCTTTGCATGCTCATGGACTTTTCCACCTGATGGGTCTGCAGCTGAATGTTGGAGAGAAGAGGGAACAGGCCCTTGAACACTGAGCAAGCAGACACTGTTTGCTCTCTCGTAGGCATGGCAAAGAAAAGAAACCTTGAAGCAAATAATTTCTTCATGCTTTATTGTTCTGTTCACTTCTTTCCTACACTGCTGACATTTTTTGCCTACCTAGAGCGCTATATTACAGCTCTCGATGCTATTCTTCTGTGTTTATTTCTAGCACAGGCTCTCTTCCACTCCGTCCGACTGACGCAGATCAACCGAATTTTCTGCAGTTCTGGTGGAAAATGGTTTGCCGACATCTTCAGCATAAATAATTTTAATTTGCACATTTGCACCTCTGTCTCTGCATGGAGAATTTGTCTGAACCTGGAGACTTTTCCATTACCAAAGCAACAAAGTCAAAGCCGTGATGGATTGTGTGGGACACAATTAGCTGGAGAAGATAACTACACAGAAAAGCATGGGAATTCAGTTGAGATTTCACAAAAGTTGATGGGATGGGCATAGCTAATTCCCTTTTCTCTGAAAGCTGACAGCAGCAACTCTAACAACCACGTACCTCAGACCGTTCAAACTTTCCAAAATGAAACTTAACCATTTCACACCCGAGTTAGAGATGTGTTAGCAAACGAGAGGGGCTGCTCGAGCTGGCAGGGAGGGAGGGGAGCTGGAGTTCAAGGATGGGAAAGGCAAGAGCACCACAGGTCAGCACTGCAGCCTTCCCGGGTCACTGGACACCCACAAGCAGGGCCCCAACCTGGGCAGAAGCAAAGCAATGCTCTTGGGCATCAGACAGGTCCGTACAGGAGCCCTCGCCACAGTTTCCCACAGGAGCACCCTGTTAGGGGAGATAAAAGGATTCTGCTCTGCCTCTGTATTTGCAAGTCCTACAAGCTACAGTTGTGACAAATGCCACAATGGGAGTCCTTACTAAAGAAACGATGGCAAAAGCAAGGCGGACTGTGGCAGGGGAGCAGATGTGTGGTAGAGGAGTCACTAGCAACAACCACACACACGCATAACACAGGGAAATGCCGCTTTCCCTTCTGTATTGAGGTGTGCGCACACACATAACGAAAAGTTGCTGACATAGCGCTGCCATGGTGGGGACCCTCAGGAAGTTATGTCAGCTCCCTAATATTTGCAACATCACTTGGCAGTGACACAGCAGCACCAGCTGGAGATGTAGGAAATAAAATACATCCTCCCAGCCCCTGGCGGCTGTCGCCGCTGCTCCCCCCTGCCCCAGGAGCTGCCTGGCTGCTCTGCTGCGGTCTGCGCAGCTCCCGCGTCCCCTGCTGCTGCTCTGCCTCGCTGAAACACAACCCGGGCGCTTCATTTCTGTGGCTGGATCCGTGAGCTGCGTTCGCAGGCAGAGGAGAGCCCAGGGCTAGGCAAGGCAGGCTTTTCCTCCCCAGGGCTCCTGCCCCGTACTGCAAGGGAATATATTACCCACATCTTGCTCTGCTCCGCAGTGA